AATCGAAGGAACCTTTCCGTCGACGAACCAACATCCTTGTATTTTTTCTTGTTTCAAACGTCCTTCAACGCACATGTAAGATGCACTAGAAAATGTTTTTGCACAACGAGAAATAGTTTTTACTCACAGATTGACCCTTGACGAAAGCAATAGTTGTCTGTCGAGACCTACGGTCTTGTACGTGTAGCTGAGGACATGATGTAAGATTTATAGATCGGCGCCATCTTTTACAGCAGACTTGTAAAGAAAAACTTCACCGTCGAAATTATCCCTAAAGAAGAACAAGGTTGAAAAAGTATCCGGACGTGGGCTGACATTTGAAGATCTGCAAACAGTGTACAGCAGATTAGGAAATGAAGGGCTTATTGTGGGCGTATGGAAAAGCCGGAATCCGGAACCGGAAGCGGAGCCAGAAACGGAACCGGAACCGGAACCGGAACTCGAACCTAAGAAATAAAAATTGGAGACGTGTCTGTCTTGAGAGTGTCACTAACAATAAGTGCTCGATCAAGACTTTTCATCCCCACATTACATTTTTTTATTGTTATTATATTTTTTACTGTCGCATTTTTAGCGTACGGCGCAAAATTTTTCTTCGAGAATTTCATATACGCGTGAGCGTTGCAACTTGGGATCATGATTGACGTGAGTACTCCTCCTCCCTTTGCCGCCTTTCCCTCACAATGGATGAAACACGGAGCCCTTTTAAGAAAATGTACGAGTAAGAATATAAAAGTTTTCATTCTTTTCTGCTTTACTGAGTTTGAAAAAATGTTACCATTTTACAAAACATATCTGTTTTCGTTTAGGCCATCCCAATTTAATGCTTCGTTTCCCATCGCCCGACCGACCCATTTTTTGGGAAAAGTTAAAAAAAAAAAAAAAAATTCCAGAATCACTTGTAAAGAAGCAAGTACTTTAATTTACAAGCACACGATCTTGTCTTATTAACACCAATTGTCTCAAATTATCATCGATACTTCGTTTTTGTAGCCTTTTTAGACATTTGATAGTCCTTTACCATCTGATTATATCTTGCAGACTAAACGTGAGATTTAATATGCAAAAGTACCCCATTCATGTGTTCATTCTTCTTCTTTTTTTTTTGCCCGACCCACCGACCCACCTTCACGAGAGGGAGGGCGATGGGAAACGAAACATTTTATTGGGATGGCCTTACAGATCGGGACAAAGCGACGAATCGATTGAAATGTGAGTACGCGTGAAAATGTGAAGTTGTTGTGCCTCGAATTTATGCTCGAGTCTGCGGCGGAACAGCATGGGCTTATTCTTTGAGTATATCTTTGGTATCACGATCACTGTGCTGAAAATTTCTCAAGACAATGATAACTGGTTTCAGTGCTTCCCAGTTTATCCCAGTCTCAATTTAAGTTCCGGTTCCGGTTCCGGTTCCGGTTCCGGCTCCGGTTCCGGATTCCACTTTTCCATACGCCCCTCGTGAAAGACTCGATCTATTTTCTGTGTAGTTTCGTTGCGTTGCTGTTTTTGTTTTGGTGAAAGGATTATTAGGCTGATAAGGTACTCTCCCAATACAAGAAAAATTGATCGGAGGTTGAAAAAAGTGTGGAGGAAGAACTGATGGTTTCATTCCTGTATTTAGCCATGTCTCGATTCTAGGCTAAAAGAAGGAATCGATCCTCAGTGGACAATAGTACCGGAAGTCTTATAACGTGGATATTAATCTGGGTTAATGTAAATATAGACCTTGGAACGGACTGTCCACGTTGGAAGATGGCAACCGCAACCTTCCTTGTGGCGGGAAGGGCGTAGCTAGCCACAATGACAGCGGCTAAGATAGATACCGCGCGCTAAGCAAATGTTAGCCATCAGAACTGGTTAGCCATATAGACTACACCGATAGCAAACGCACAGCAGGGTATATACATACGCAATTTGTCAGTTTTCTTTCCCGACCCCACTCCATAGGCAGTTATGATTTTGTGATGTATTCTGTTGATGGGCCTTCGGTATTATATTTTATTTATATGAGGATAAAATAAATCATCACCTGTATGTGTAGGATAATTATTATAAGTATTAGCAAATTTTTATCCCTGGAAATAAGTTAAAAAATCAGTTGGTGAAAATTGTATGACATGTGCAATCAATGACTAATCAATGGATTATCATTAAATAATCGTTGAGTAATCGAATGCATCAATTACTCATCGATGACATCAATGAATAATCGATAGGCCACAAAATTCTTGGCCATCGATTAGTCATCGATTACCTATTGATAATAGCTAATAGTTAATGACTAATCAGTTTTTTACCCGATGATTACTCATCGATAATTCATTGATGTCATTCATCATTGATTTGTTACATCTCCTAAAATGCTTGGTTGACATTAACCTCACGATCTGCTTATTGCTTATGGAACCTGGATTATGAAACAAATTGATAGAACCCAACAGATTTTTTAATGAATGAATCAATATTTATACAGGTTGTTGATATTCATTACCATTCATTATCTTACTTTGTTGTTTAAATTTCTAATTATTATTATATACATGCCTTGGTTACTTTAGAAATTGTCGGTAAGGGTCAGTAAGAGTGATGTTTGAAATTATTTCATTTGAACAGAAAAAGTTGGACAAATGTTCATCAAAGAGATCAACATTCGAGTTGTCAGACTTCAAGCTAATTAATGTTAATATTGTAAAATAATAGCGTTGGATACAGCAAGGAACTCTCAACTGTCATGTAAACGACTGAAATAGACAAATAATGTTATAGATTTTTAAAAGTCTTTTCTGGACGGATCAATATCGGCAGTCTACATTTATGCAGTACATAGAAGTGACATTATATATTGAACCTAGTGCTTGCTGGTTATATTCAGACTGTAAAGATAGCACATGACACCGTAGTTAGTTTGGAAAAATAGTAAACAATGCAATCAATTGCAGTCTTTTTCCTCATATTCCAAATAGTATTTTACAATCTTGATGGTACTGAATAGAAAAAAAAAACGATTGGCAACATTTTACAATTACCACTGAAGTATATGGATGGATAGGAGTAGGAACTGATGATGAAATTAGGCATACACTGCACACAGGAAATCACAGTTTCTCTGTGAAAAACCACACACTTAGCAATCCTGGCTGTAGTGAATTAAATGTTAATTCTAAAGATATGCATTCAATTTATAATACATGGAAGTGAAAATGCTTTCATTTGTTACAAATGTAGTTTCCTTCGTTCCTATATTTTGAAAAAATTAATGCATCGTTCTTTTCTTGTCACTAGGGTTGCAATTCTTGCAGTGCCAGCTTTTTGGTTCTCTCTTGATTCCAGCACAGGACCTGTAAGAATAAATGAGATGTAACACCCGGTGGAAGGTGTTGACAGGCCAAACACGACTCATAAGCTCGTGATAGTGTGATATGTGACCTTATAGTTTTGCTCTAACGAGGATATCTCCCAGTGATTTTGCTCTTTTATATGAAATGATGGGAGGCTCGTTGTATATTTCTCTCAGTAGTGGTTGATCTTGAATTAAGTGCCATTTGCTCATTAAAATGTTTTTCAGGTTCGGCAAAGCAGGGTGGTACGTGGTAACGAAAGGCAGAATTTTCTTTCGCACTTCATTGTTCTTTTGTAAAGCTGACTTCCATTCGGTAAATTTAACCTCAGAAGTGATTTTTTCTATGAGATTGTGAGGGTAACCCGGGGGAAGGGTACTCCCATACATTACCCATACGAGTATGTACCGCCCAACGGGGTCTTGATTTTGAAGCTCCTGATTTAGAATGGGGTATCCATTTCAAAGGCGTTTTCTAGAACGGGGTATAATATTTCGAACGCACGAAAGCTCCAGTTTTGTAAGCAGCCATTTGAAATTATACAAGGACAGATTGCTTTTAAAAATACGGTTCAATGCGTTAACAAGCAAACTGTTGTACTCTTGTTGCACCCTGTGTTTTAGCGTGTAGGGCGGGCGTATTTGGCGCGAGCCGCGAGCGCTGACTCTGCCATCTTGGATAGATAGGCGCGCGGAAATTTGAAACGCGTCCATAATGTACCCGAGGTTTTACCCGGAGAGATGGAGACGAGCTCAAAAGAAAGGGACGGGGGAGGAGAAGGAAAATCGTTAGCTTACGAGCTTGGTTCTGTGCGTGGTGAGAAATTTTGCGTCATAATTAACCGCATTGGGGGGGGGGGGGGGGGGTGGACAACTTTTTGTTGGGGGTTTTATGGGGTGGTTATGGGGGAAAAGGGATCTTTTTTTTCCCCTCTCCCCTCAAAAAATAAAATATTCCCTCCTCCCGCGTTCCGTTTTTCACTTTTCTAAATTTTATTCTTATCTCCTCCCCACTCAGGCTGTTTTACATAATCGTCTACCTATCATTAGGGGGGGGGGGGGGGGGGGAGGGTTGGGCAATTTTATATGTGGGATATATAGGTGTGATATATGGGTATCAGGCATTCTCTTTTTCCCTCTCCTCTCAAAAAAATAAAATACTCGATCAGGCCTGATCTCAAGTTCAACTTTCCACAGATCCTGGCTATATCTCCTACTGACAGGGCACGTCTTAAAATGGGCTTACAATCACTATCTTCCCTCAAATCTCAGTTTTTCTTTACAAAGTTGTTAGAGTCTTTTGCCTAGTGTCTTGCCTAATTTCAAACCAAGCAAGGCTGTGTACGGGTTGGTTTATTATGGGATAAACAACAGAAGACCTACTGCCACATAGTCAGGAAGAGCCCATTGAGACTAGGAAAAAGCTCAAGTCTGGTGATGATTGGGCCAATATTGAACAAGATACAGCTATTTAAAAACTTGAAAATTAATAAGAGATGTATGTATTGCGGGACACACCCTCCAGACGTCTTTATACTTCTTAGTAAATTTTTGAGTATTTGAATGGCTGTATCAATTACCTTACCATTCGTTGATTGTTCCCAGGGTCTCTCTAAAAAAAACCTAAAAATAATCCCATAATGCATTTAGGCTTGAATCCAAGATGGCGGCTTTCCCCTTCTTTTCGTTTTGTTCGGCTTTGCTTGCTATTTCTCTGGGTATTTTTGTTCAGTTCAATGCCAAACAATCCAAGCCATACATGGATGAGATTTTTCACGTCCCTCAAGCTCAGAAGTACTGCCACTATAAGTTTCAAGACTGGGATCCTAAGATTACTACTTTGCCAGGAATCTACCTTTTTTCTTTCTTGTGTTTACGCGCCCTGTCGTATTTCCTTGGTCAAGAATTGCATTTGCTGTGTTCAACATTTTTGCTGCGAATGACTAACGTCCTGTTTTTAATGGGCAATGTGTGGATTTTGAGACAGCTACTCATCTGTATCCATAGTCACTGTGATAAGAAATCAGCTCAAGAGCAAGAGGAGGTTGGTATAGACTTTTTTTAATTTAGTAGGCTACATTGCAGAATACCCGTCCCAGTAAATGCAGGGCTGTCAACCCCTCCCCCCCCCCATCATCAAATATTGAGAATTGATAGGGAAGGAATGATAGATGATGTCATGTTGCATGACAAATGACGTCATTTGGGCCAAAAATGCTTGTTGATTCCGATCGACGTATATGGCACATAAACAGTTCATATTTAGCCACATTATTGCTTAAATTACAATGGCATATCAGAATTTATGACCAAACGTTCCATGTTAACAGTAGCTTAAACAACGCAAAATTTTTGAAATTTTATGGTCATAAAATTGAGTCTACAAGAAATAGCAACTTTGACTTTTTTTCGGAGATATCAGACTCTAATCTGGAGTCTGGAAGATACGGTCCAAAATCAAAAACTTCTCCTGCAGTCGTCCGATTTGCATGATAAATTCTAGCCTGTGAACAGGCTCTCTTTTTAGGGAAAAAGTGAACAAAAAAATCGGCAAGGGAAAGGGGGAGAGCCTGTGGACAAACCTTTGAGGCTGCTATTCTGCCCTCTTGTAACTGCCGATCAAAGTCGTTCTTTTCTTTGGTAAATTGCGGGAACATTTGAAATATCAAACTTTTGCTGAATCTTGTAGGGAGAATTCCGAAAACATCCTTTTTTCTGCCACAGATCATAGGCAGTCCTTTTGTTCTTCCTTGAGCCGTGGAATGTTAGGGAAATTCTCAAGTGAATTGCCCAATACTTTTTCGAAAAGCTCATCCGTCAATCCACCAGAAGACGCCATGTTAAAGATCAGAAGACCTGTTTACAGGCGATTATCCAAATTGCTTGCTACGTGCTGACCAAAAACGTGATGTCAATCAAAATTGTCAACAGTCAGTGTTCTTGCCAATAGGAGCTTGCATCAGAATCTGATGCATAGCAGATGTCGTGGAATGGCAGTCCCAAAGGTTTGTCTACAGGTCCTCCCACTTTTCCCTCTCCCAGTTCTCCCAGGGCGGTTTTTCAAGTAAGGCATTAAGAGGGCCAGGTATTCTGCAAGTGCTCTATTCAGAGACATTATAGACAGCGTGAGACTTGACGTGCCATTTAAAATTTTCCAGTTTTTGCTACCTACATGTATTCCTACTTTATGCGATGTAAATTTTTTTCTGACCCCTCCCTCTTGATATTTATCTAATCATACCTTTTCTGCCTCGTCCCCAGCAGCTTGCAATTGGTTATTTTGGAGATATTTGAGTTAATCATTAAGGAAAGCGTTTAAGCTATGCACTGGTTCTCTTCATTTCCCCACTTTCGCTTCTTGCTCATCACCAGCTCTCTGCTGTATAAGACCATGCTCCTTGCGATAGTCTGTGGAAGATGCAAATACCTTTTGCCTTATAATAGACTTTATTCATGATACCTGCCATCTTTGCACGCGCATAGGAATGGATGGGTTAAAAGCAATATCACATGGTTTCTCAGGGGGCAATTAGCAAGCGATAAAATCAGGTAATACAAGAAATCGCATTTGTTTCTGTTTATGTTAGACAACAGAAAGTTTAAGAACTTTTTATCTTAAAGATAATAACAGCAAATTATGGTTGGACGTGATTGCTATTATCTTTTTTGAATGCAGCAGTGACTGTAGATGTCCTCACAGCAGGCAATAATGATATGAAACTTGAACTGTAGATTTTGCAAATTTAAAATTGCCTTATCAACAAACTCAACCAAGATTACTTTTATTGGCAAATTTTAACACTTGTTTGCCCCCTGAAAGACCTCCTGAAATTGCTTTTATCGCAATCAGTCCTAAAGCGCATGGAAAGATGGTGGGTATTGTGAATAAGGTCTATTAGCCAGATGAAGGTGAAGACTATGCGTAAGCCAAGGGGACCATCGGGCCAGAGCTTATCCCTGGTTACAAAACATGAAGTGACTAGGAGTATTTCTACCGCCCCCTACTGGATGAGACACTTGTCCATCTTAGGGTTACTCTCAGCAGTATATTTCTGATACCCATTTAATGCACATGGATGAAGAAAAAACAAAGTGGGACAAAGTTTAAGCATGGACCTACAGATCCAAAGTTTGAGCTGTTACCAACTTGGGCACCTTGCCTTCACACATTTTTTAATAATTTATTTATTAATGACATTCCATTTAATATCTGCCCCCCCTCCCAAACTGGTATGATAGGGAGCTTAAGCAATGACGACATCAACAAGAACGGCGAAAAAGCAATAAGTTTAGATTGGCAAAACAACAAATCTTCACCGTCATGCATCATGCTTTTTTGTACATTTTTTTGTTGTCGGTGCACGACCACGACGTGAAAATGCCTAATTTCAGATTTTGTGGAAAACATGAACACAAGACAACAACTTTTAAATTTTTCTTTCCCTGAATTTCGATAGAGTTTTTTAGAATTGAACTCCAGAAAAAATTGTTAACATTTGACAGACTGAACGAGATGGAACAAGTGCAATAAAGTTTGAAGCAGTGCAACTTCATTTTTTAAGTGACGTTTTCATAGCCATCGATTGTTGGTTAAGCTCCCTATTATCATGAAGAGGACCTTTAGAAGGCATTGCTTCTGGTTTAACTGTAACAATTTTACTTTTTAATCAACAGGGAACAGAGGGTGGAAATGAAGATGAGAGTCAAATCACAAGATGCTCAGTTACTGCGTTGGTGCTAGGTGTATTTCCTGTGCTGTACTTCTTCACATTCCTCTACTACACCGATTCTGGTTCTGTGTTCTTTGTTCTCCTTACATATTACCTCAGCCTCCGTGGAAACCACTTTGCAGCAGCATTAGCTGGCAGTGCATCAATATTTTTACGTCAGACCAACGTAATATGGGTGATTTTTACTGCAGGAGTAACAGCACTGAGGACTATTCAACAAAGCATGGACAAAACTGCATTAGGAGATTCCCCAGGCTTTTTGGTGGAACTGAAGGCATACTGCATAATTTTTTGTAAACACTTCTTTGAGCTTTTTAAATGCCTCTGGTCTTATGGACTTGTTGTAGTTGGTTTTGCTGGATTTGTTGTTTGGAATGGGGGAATAGTAGTTGGAGACAAATCTCAACATAAGGCATGCTTGAATTTTCCTCAGGTTTTTTATCTGTCATTTTTTACGTTAGCATTTAGCAGTCCTTTGCTTCTTTTGCCTCAGGACATCCTAAGCTACATTAGAAGGTTAATAAGTATTCTAAGAAAACCACTGTTATTCATAGCACTTCTTTTAGTAACTACTTCCATAATGACTTTTACTGTCTATAAATTTACCTATGTTCATGAGTATCTACTTGCCGATAATCGCCACTATCCATTTTATGTTTGGAGGAAAGTTTATGCAAGGCACCAGCTAGTGAAGTACCTCATGATACCCGCATATATGTTTGCAGGATTTTGTATCCATGAGAAATTAACTCTTAAGCAGCATAGGCTGTGGGTTATAATATTTTACACCTGTGTTGCCATAGTTACTGTCCCTCAAAAGCTATTGGAGTTTCGCTATTTCATTATTCCATACATCTTTTACCGTCTCCATGTTCCACTTGTGTCATATGTAAGACTGCTGACAGAATGCGTATTGTATGTCGCAGTAAATGCATTTACTATATATCTGTTCTTAGAGAAACCATTTAGCTGGTCTCATAGCCCAGAAGAAGTTCAAAGGTTTATGTGGTAATTATAATAATAATTAAATCATTTTAACTTAACATTCTTTAAATTCTTTTTTAACAGTAACGTCTTGGTTTAAGAAAGGTCAGTGAGTACATCGCAGCAATGTAAAAGCTTTAACTCAAGTTTAATATATTTTTTTTGCCTCTGTTACTGTGTATGTTCTGTTTTCTTCCGTTGAGTGTAAGTCCCTTGAATATAACAAGAGCCTATTTTAATGTAAACATTTTTATTACCAGATAAACTTTTCTCTCATTCTAATTTGCAGTTCTATAGCTGCTTACAGCCAAGCTTTGTATATTTTTAGCAAACATTTACCATTTCTATTTCTGAAAACTTTCTTCCAAATGAGTTCTAAGTTCTTTCAAAACTGACACCATTATTAAATCACATTTGAACAAGACTGGTAATTATTGTGAGTTCAACTAAAGAAACATCATTTTGAAAAGTGATTTTCATCCTTGACAATAAATTGATTCTAAAGGTGGATGGAAAAATGACCTGGTGACTTGAAGCTCAGTCAATTTCAAGTGTTCTCATCCCCCCTTTGAATTTGTCAAGGGCTGTGTTTCCCATAGAGATGGGCATGTTTGGTATTGACAGAGCCAATTTTTATGCTAAACCACAAGATCCTCCTTGTACACCATACTTTTTTCTTTACATAGGACGAATTTAACAGAGATCAAGACTTAGTTGAGTAAGGCCCTTATTCCATTCATCCTGGAATTCAATTCACATCCAAAATACTACTCTTATTGACTCTATACTGTATGTTTGCAAAATAACAATATTGACAGAAACTTATTGTTCACTGCACGTCCTTTTATCTTCATACAAGATCTCGAACTGTCTAATAATTTGCTGCTATGATTAGCAGTAAGTTCATTTTCATCCATATGCTGCATTAGTGTCTCTGATCATCATCATATGTCTATCAGAGTTCCCTGCAAGGCAAAAGGATCAATTGCTAAGTATGTCCAAAAAAAAATAGTTACTTTGCTGTTGCATTGCATTTAATGTCCTAATTTGTTATTATTTTTTTAACTCATGTCTGTTGTAAAAATTACAATAACAGCATTCTGTCTTCCATTGAAGTTTTTTTCGGTAGAGTGAAATCCTGTCATTCTGACCCCAAAAGGACCCTGCAAAGCTGGTTACTTGTATTGATGGGTTTGCAGCTAAAAACATAACCAAGATCAGGGTGCAAAGAGAGTTAGTTTTGCAGCTTACCATTTGGGCAAGTTGAAACTGGCATTTACTGACCCAAATGTCATTTCAACTAGCCCCAGAAACTTTTTGATGAGCACAATTGATTTCAAAATAATAATTCTTCCATAATTTGAATTCCTCAAAAAACTTCACTTGCCAGTTGGGCAAGTAAAGAACAAAATCCACTAGCCCGATAGCACAATCCACTAGCCCGATAGCAAAATCCACTAGCCCGATAGCAAAATCCACTAGCCCGATAGCAAAATCCACTAGCCCGATAGCAAAATCCACTAGCCCGATAGCAAAATCCACTAGCCCGATAGCAAAATCCACTAGCCCGATAGCAAAATCCACTAGCCCGATAGCAAAATCCACTAGCCCGATAGCAAAATCCACTAGCCCGATAGCAAAATCCACTAGCCCGATAGCAAAATCCACTAGCCCGATAGCAAAATCCACTAGCCCGATAGCAAAATCCACTAGCCCGATAGCAAAATCCACTAGCCCGATAGCAAAATCCACTAGCCCGATAGCAAAATCCACTAGCCCGATAGCAAAATCCACTAGCCCGATAGCAAAATCCACTAGCCCGATAGCAAAATCCACTAGCCCGATAGCAAAATCCACTAGCCCGATAGCAAAATCCACTAGCCCGATAGCAAAATCCACTAGCCCGATAGCAAAATCCACTAGCCCGATAGCAAAATCCACTAGCCCGATAGCAAAATCCACTAGCCCGATAGCAAAATCCACTAGCCCGATAGCAAAATCCACTAGCCCGATAGCAAAATCCACTAGCCCGATAGCAAAATCCACTAGCCCGATAGCAAAATCCACTAGCCCGATAGCAAAATCCACTAGCCCGATAGCAAAATCCACTAGCCCGATAGCAAAATCCACTAGCCCGATAGCAAAATCCACTAGCCCGATAGCAAAATCCACTAGCCCGATAGCAAAATCCACTAGCCCGATAGCAAAATCCACTAGCCCGATAGCAAAATCCACTAGCCCGATAGCAAAATCCACTAGCCCGATAGCAAAATCCACTAGCCCGATAGCAAAATCCACTAGCCCGATAGCAAAATCCACTAGCCCGATAGCAAAATCCACTAGCCCGATAGCAAAATCCACTAGCCCGATAGCAAAATCCACTAGCCCGATAGCAAAATCCACTAGCCCGATAGCAAAATCCACTAGCCCGATAGCAAAATCCACTAGCCCGATAGCAAAATCCACTAGCCCGATAGCAAAATCCACTAGCCCGATAGCAAAATCCACTAGCCCGATAGCAAAATCCACTAGCCCGATAGCAAAATCCACTAGCCCGATAGCAAAATCCACTAGCCCGATAGCAAAATCCACTAGCCCGATAGCAAAATCCACTAGCCCGATAGCAAAATCCACTAGCCCGATAGCAAAATCCACTAGCCCGATAGCAAAATCCACTAGCCCGATAGCAAAATCCACTAGCCCGATAGCAAAATCCACTAGCCCGATAGCAAAATCCACTAGCCCGATAGCAAAATCCACTAGCCCGATAGCAAAATCCACAAGCCCGATAGCAAAATCCACTAGCCTGATACAAAATCCACTAGCCCGATTGCAAAATCCATTAGCCCGATAGCAAAATCCACTAGCCTGATACAAAATCCACTAGCCTGATAGCAAAATCCACTATCCCGATAGCAAAATCCACTAGCCCGATAGCAAAATCCACTAGCCTGATACAAAATCCACTAGCCTGATAGCAAAATCCACTATCCCGATAGCAAGATCCACTAGCCCGATAGCAAAATCCACTAGCCCTGGGCTATCAGACGCTACTTTCTTTGGATGCTGCAAGATTTTTATGTTAAGTTCGAACTTGCTCTAATATGACTGTCATAACAAGGAGATCAAAAGGTAGGGTTCACACAGTCTTGAAAAGTCCTTGAATTCTGTTTTTCCTTGAGAAGTCGTTAAAATTTCTGTGTAAGTCCTTGAAAAGTCAATTTTCTTCAACCTTGAATGTACATGTAATGAATAAAATAAATAAATAATGATTTGGAGGTAGCACATCCACAAAGTCATCTTCGTCTACCTGATTCCTGGTAGAATTGGAATTTGGTAATGTTGGTTTTTGCGGAGAGGGGAAAACCAGAGTATCTGGAGAAAAACCTCTCGGGGGAAAGGAGAGAACCAACAACAAACTGGAAAGTGTTTTTAACTGTTTTTTGCGTGTCCAAAAGTGAATATAGCTCAGAGGAGTTAAAGGTGATTTACATAAAGCATCTTTTGTTTTATGCGACAATTAAATATCAAATTAAGGCAAGTGTACTGTGAACTGAAAACTTTCTAAGTTGGAGGAGCAAACAGTTCAAGCCTCAAAGTCCAGTTATAATTTACTTTGAAAGTGCGTTTTTGTGCAATCTGTGAAATTACGTTCCTGGTACGTGGTCCTTGAAAAGTCCTTAAAAAATGGTTGCGATTTTTGATGAGGTGGGGAGGGGACTCCCCTAAAAACAGATTTGCTATTACATGTACTTTAGCACTCCCCCCACCTCACCCTGGAGCTTTAATTTGTTTTTAGTGGGAGGGGATCTGGGTTATTTTGCTTGGTCCCTCTCCCCCTTCACAGTCCCCTCAGCTGTCAGCTTGCCGATATATTTATGTGTTCACACAGTTTGTATTTGCCCTTCTTCCTCACCAAGAAGCTTGGTCCCATGCTAGTTTTTACAATCATAATAACCTTGGTTCAATGTTTTTTTTTCAAGGGTGTTTGTGTCTGACCACAAGGCCCAGTTCAAACATTGAACTTTTCACATACAGAACCTAATCATCTCAGTTAAGTACTTGAATAGATCAACGTTTGAATCAATTGAGTCTGGTATGTGCTACATGTATTTGGGTCGACCATGAATCAAGTTCAAAAGGGCTGCCGAGGGAATTTTAACTGTCGAGCAACTTTGTTTCTTACATTGAACTTTTCATGTACCAAATGTCATGTATTATAAATTACTGTAATCTATTTTGACTGGTGAAAATTTTAGACTATTGTACATCGTGAAAGTGAATTGAGTCCGACTACTTAAGTTTGATGTCTAAATCCGCCATCTGAACTTATATCCTTTTGGGTCGACGTTAGAACTGCATGGGCCTAAGAAAACAACCCCCAAGGTACATGTAAATTAAGCCAAGGGAAAAGTTTTGATCCCTTACTTCCTTGGGCAAGGCAGGTGACCATTCAATCAAATTTCTGACCAGTGCATCACCACCAGTAGAGTCTTGGACTGGATCTACAGTGGTCATCTGAGAAGCTGGAGAAAACGGATCTGACAGTCTGGAGTTTGATCGAAGTGATTCAAGAGTCTGATCGGCAGGAGCTTGTGCTGCTGGTCTCCTTGGTTTAACAAGCTCAGCAGACGGTGAGATATTGAATGGGAGTGGAACATTATCTGTGTTACTGCTGCCTGGTCTAGACCTTAGTGACTGAGACCTGGTAATTCTGTCACTCCTCAGAGGGGTGGGGAGGAAAGAACGTCGTTTCTGAGCATTTGCACTTAGTGATGTTCTCTTTGTGACTTTACAAGGAACTGCAAAAAAAGACAAAACATTGATGTACAGGTAAGTACTTCAGCCACGAAACATGTGGACAGAACTGACCAGCAAATCAGGATAATACTGTGACATCCATTTTACCTGGATTTGGTGGGGTTTCTGTGCTGCTTGAAACACAATTACTGTTGGCTGGAGTGGATGGCCTGTGGCCTTTTGCTTTTGTCTGAACCTTAGAGACACCACCCTCAACAGCACTGCCAC